AGCATTACTTTTATAAATATGAATTTTTCTAATTTTTTAATAATATTGAAATCCAGCTTTGATATAAAAAAGAAAAAAAATTAGCTATTTTATGAAGTTTTGCTTCCTTATTATTATTTGATAATTCAAAATTATCAATTAATTCATTATCAAATTTGAAGGTTTTTGAAAAATCTGTTTTACTGTCTTCAGCATTATTTGCAAAATATATCAAAACTAATTCTTCTAATTTATCTAAATTATATAAAACACTATCATTCTCTTTAATTGTCTCTTCAAAATTATTATTTAAAACTTCTGAATTTACAAATTTATTATCTTTATTAATATTGAGTTTTGTTTTTCTTTTCTTTTTAGTATAATTATTACAATTAGAAAATTTCTTGTTTTCATTTCTATCAAGTCTAATAAATTCATTAAAAATTTTATACTTTTTACAATAAGAACACATCTTGCTATTTATGATATTAACTATTTGGTCAAATTGAGACATTTTAAATATTAGAAGATGATCAAGACAATTTATGATATTTAGGTAATGTATTTTATATTTTTCTAATGTGATTTATAATTTCTTTGGCAAAAACAATACTCTTTTTATATCTATTTAATAATTAAAAACAGGAAAAAAATTATGTAGATTACTATATATAAAATCTTGAATAAGCTTCTACAACTTTACTATAATGAAACCACATTTAATTCCTCTACTATATACTATTTCTTAATAAGTATTATTACTGTTTTATTATATTTTGTACTTCTTGTTAATTACTAATTACCAGATTAATTATTCTAATTTTGTGAAAACATTTTTTTTAAAATATGACAAATTAAGTTAATAATTTATGTCACTAAACTAGATATTTTTTTGTGCATATGTTAAGTTATTAAAATTATACACAAAATTAGTTTATATGGTTTATTTCTTTATTATATGCTATCTTATAAAGTAAATTAAAATAATTAATCTGTGATCCTTTTTGTTATATTTAAATTATTGATTTTGAGATTTGTTTCATGCTGTGTATTATTTTTGAAGTTTCATTTCTCAATCATATTATTTTTTTATAAGGTTTTATTTTTATCTATATAGTTGCAAGCATTTTTGCTATTATTATTGTAGCAGATTATTGAAATTAGATTAAAATAAAATTTTGCATAATATGAAATAGACAATATTAGAAAACTTTAAAATCTGATTGTAGTTAATTAAAACTATCAAATTTTAATCGATTATCATCACTACTAGTAATTAAATATGATAAAATTTTTTATCAATTATAATTGATATTAATAGAAACTAATTATACTTTTGTTTAAGATCGATAATAATTAATTTAATTTAATAGTTTTAAAATTACTTTAATTGATTTTATATGTACTGATTATAATTGATTATAATCATTTAAATATATGTACTGATTATAATTAATTATAATTATTTGAAGTTATCAATTAACTGTTTATAATTAGATTTTAAATTTTTCTAATAAAGCTTCAAATTACATTTTAATTCAATTTATTATAATCTGTAACAAATATAAAACTGGTTTGACAGTTTTATATTGTACAATAATATACATGTATGCTAGGGATGTTAAAAAGCTCAAATATGTTCATCACACCCCATGATACAAATATTTACCAGCCACACAACACTTAATATATGACAAATAAGTGATATAATAAAAAATAACTTATGTGATATGTGATAAATATTTGTGACAAATAATTAATATGTGATAAATAACTAAAATATAGGTGATACCATGTCAAAACAAAAAATTCTAAAAATAGAATCTTTAAACAATAGAATACGGACTTTAAATGATATTAATATATAAGATAGCTGCATAGCGCATGATGCTATGCCAGACTCTAAAATTTTTGATCCAGATTTAATACAGTCACAGGATTCCAAAATAAAACAAACATGCTGTGCAACATAGTTGCACTAAAATCAGGAACATGATGCAATTAAATTTAATCAAGAATATGCTTTGTGCAAGATAATAAATATCATAAATCATATAATTACTGTTAAGAGAAAACTTCAAATCAGAAATCTAAATTTATTATTATTATATCAGAAATGGCATTTTTAGTGATGTATTTTTTGCAAAATTCCAATTGATTGGACTATGCATTAAATGCAATAAAACATAAAATTCTGTATTTAGACTTCACAAGATTACATCACATAGCACTCTATTCAGGTGTTGTTTATAATCGTAAGGTTAATGGTATAAAAAATGTTGTGTAGGCCAATAAAAAAGAAAAGCCTATAGTTTATATATAAGTATACTAAATTTTTTTTAAGAAAAGCGTATAATATACATAAATGTATAAAACAATTTTGAGTCAATTATACTAGTTTGTATATAGATATATGGTACTTTAAAAATTTTGGCTTATTTAATCGGTCATAAGAATAACCCTAGCATCACCCAGAAAAAATGGTAGCCAGATTATTTTGCTGACTTACATGTGATTTTGGTTACTGATTGTTGGATAAATTATGAATCTTTTTTATTCAATGAAAATAATTTGCATTTTTTTAGTTATAGAGAATAAATAAATAAATAAAAATAATAGTTAAAATAATGCGATTTAAACAGTTTATCTTAAATTCATAGAATCTTTACGTACTATAAAGTAGCTTACTTTTGATATACTAATTACAAGTTTAATTACATAGATAACAAGTCTATGAATTCACTAATTTTGCATTGGTTAAAGATTTTTATACATAATTAAATTAATGCGATTAAAAAATATGAGTAGCATTATGTAACTATAATTTATTTTAAATACTAAAGTTTGTATTTAGTTGCTAAATTAGCAAGAATAAATAAGAAGCAGAATCGCAAACTTAAAGAGCTTATTTAAGCAATTGATCAAGATCTTTATACTCAATTGAATTAATGCTAATAAAACAAAATCATATACGTATATTATCTAGAATTAATTCTGGGAACTAACTAGCCGTTTCCTTAAAACAATATTTAGTTTAAATATATTATCCAGTTCCGAATTTCTGATATTTTTTTTTCACTAATTCCCGATCAAAATACTCGTGTTTTAAGTTCATTGATAATAATTTTTGATGTTGTACAAATGCCTTAGTCTTAATCTTTCTGCTTAACAACAAAAACTAACCAAAATAATATAAGCATCACTATGTAATAGTGAAATGGGCTGATAATAAAACCTTGGGCCAGGGCTGAAGCCAAAATAGTTTGGCCTGGCCAACCGGGCCGACTGTCTTACCAAAAAAAGTTTTAGCCAATAAAATTGCAGAATTCTATAAATATAAGCACGTATATATTGCATTATATCATAATAATAAGGTTTCTTTTTAACTTTCTACCTTTAATACTTAATTTATTCTGTTATTTCCTACCATGATCAACCAAATAGTTATTCACTGCTTTACCAAAGCAAAAAGTATTTAAATACAGAAATTATTGTCATAGCTGAAGCTTGAAATAGCTGAAGCTTGAAATTAGGAACCTCACTTTAAAAAAATAAACCCTATCTAAAAACTATTTATATTTTTATTATCAAAACTAACACCAAATTCTAAGCTAACTATAAAAAAATGCTAAAAAAATACACCCAAAAATTTATGAAAATTTTATATTAAAGTATTTAAAATTTCAAACTTCAGCTTTCAAGCTTCAGCCGTGACAATTATTATTTGAAATCAACAAAAAAATTGCCAAAATTATATAATTTTTTCAATAATTTTTCATTCTAAGTTATAATATGTTTTTGATACTATTAATTTCTATTCAAGTCCAGAATAAACATTAAAAAGTGTAGAAGTTGCCTTTAAAAATAAGTGCTCGTTCTATATCATAAATGCCAATAAATTTAATGTAAAGAATCAGGATAAATTATAATCAAATTTATGTAATTAATGATACAAGAAAATTTTTTACTAAAAAATTATTTTTACTTTAATCAGCCCAGCCCATTAAGTTGCAGATCAAGAGTCGGCCTGCCCGCCCGCCCGGCCAATGGGTCAGGGTCATCCCATATTACTACTATGTAATGATAGTCATTTATAAAGAACTTTATACTCACAATAAATTAATGTGAAGTATATACTCACTAAATTAGCTAGATTAAATGCAAATCAAATAAGTAAATGCTCACAAACTTGAATCGCTTATTTTAATTAATTAAAAAGCTCTTTTTCACTCACTATCCAAATTAACACGAATAATAAGAGGCACTAAATATCTATATACAATTTTAGCGATGTACCTAATTATCATGTTTGGTTCGAGTTCTTATATTTTATTGTTTAAATGAGGTGTTTTGCTTATAAAAATATGACGCACTTTATTTTGTGAATTCAATATAGTAAATATTCTCGATATCAAAGTGAAAGTAAAACAAAACTCAATGTGAAAGTCAAAATAAAAGTGTCAACCGAAAGTCAAAATGAAAGTCAAAATGAAAGTCAAAGTGAAAATCAAAGTAAAATCAAGTTAAAGTCAAATGAAAGTCAAAGTGAAAGTAGAGTGAAAGTCAAAGTAAAAGTAAAAGTCAAAGTCAAGATGAAATTCAAAGCGAAAATCAAAATGAAATATTATTTTTAAATATAATAAACACAACTTTACCAGCAATCAGTTTTCGAAATCGATATAAGCCAGAAAAAAAATCCAGCTACAAATTTTTTTGATGTGACGCTATGTAAGCTCTAGCCTAGTATTTATGCTATGTGAAATGTTCGTTTCAAATTTTTGTCTACAGGTGTTCTTGCTTACCAATATACTTCACCTAACAAATCTGCTGCCAAGGGATCCATATTATCTCACTGACAACTAATTTATAGACAAATCATTTCACAGATAATTAATTCACAAATAAGTATTCCTACAGTTTTTTTCACCGAAAGCTTATTTTACTGACAAGTTTTCCTTATAATTTGCACTACCTTATAGCTATTATTATTATTTCTAGGACACCCACTCAAAGCTTTCTAAATGAGTGTCAATATATTGCTCTTAGTTTGCGAGTTACTGAGAGATGGGTGGAAGGGTAGGATGATAAAGCAAGCCTTCACTACAAAGCGAGCAATAGCAAAAAGAAAGATAATCTACTCTACTAACTAAAAGCCCTTAAATACATTACTAATTACATACTCAGAACCATATGATTACCCCTCTATTCTCAGTAATTCACATTTCAACAATCATATGCAATTATCATATTAACCAGAAAATACCTATATTATAACAAATTCCATAAAAGACAGTATGAACATGTGATCCCATAAAGCCATCTAATCTTGCAATAATGATTGCCCTGTTACTTTGTTGACAGGCTTTTCACTATGTAAGATTTTTAAAATTTTGTCGATCAATTTGTTAAAAAAATTTATAGTAGTAAAAACTATGTATTATTAAAATATTATAACTTCCTTCCTAGCAAAGTATATTCGATTCTGTAACTTGCAAATGATATAAAAATAGTGTTGTTATAAAATTATGATACTATGTTTAATATTAATATATGAATTTTAGTAGGTCTCTATAATATAATTGTTTAAATAATATCTTTAAACATTATAACTCTCGCTTTAGTAGAGCAAATTTAATTCTGTAATGTGTAAATAGCATATGAATTTTAGTAGCTCTATAATATAATTGTTTAAATAATATCTTTAAATGTTATAACTCCCACTTTAGTAGAGCAAATTTAATTCTGTAATGTGTAAATAGCATATAAATAGCTTGCTTTTAAAACTATTTTGCAATAATTAATATTAATATGTAAATTTTAGTAGTTTTCTATAATTTAATCATTTAAATAATTGTTAAAATTTATTAATTTATAATTTTAGCCATATTAATAAAATGAAATGAAAAATATCTCAATATAGCTTTAAAAGCATACTATTTATATAACATTTGCAAGTTACAGAATTGAAATTGCTTTACTAGAATGGGAGTTATAAAATTTTAAAAATGCATAGTTTTTATTATAAAATTACTATGATAAATTTTTTCAATAAATTGATCAACAAAATTTAAAAATCTTTATTAGTAGGCCAATCATAAAGTGCTGAACTATAATAGTTAATCATTTGGTATCTAACACCCCAATGACTACCATGAACTGAGTTCACGATTGAGTGAACTGAGTTCACGATTGATCACTATGAACTAAGTTCATGATTGATCACCTTGAACTGAGTTCACAATTGATTACTGTGAACTGAGTTCATGATTGAGATAATTACCGTGAACTGAGTTCACGATTGATCACTGTGAACTGAGTTCACGATTGAGATGACCACCAAGAACTGAGTTCACAATTGATTACTGTGAACTGAGTTCACGATTGAGATATCCACCATAAACTAAGTTCACGATTGATGACCACTATGAACTGAGTTCACGATTGATCACTGTGAACTGAGTTCACAATTAAGATGATCACTATGAATTGAGTTCATGATTGATCACTGTGAACTGAGTTCACCATTGAGATGATCACTGTGAACTGAATTCACGATTGAGATGACCACCATGAACTGAGTTCACGATTGATGATTATCATGAACTGAGTTCACGATTGAGAAGACTACCATGAACTAAGTTCACAATTGATGACCATTATGAACTGAGTTTATGATTGAGATAACCACTGTAAACTGAGTTCACAATTGAGATAACTACTATAAACTGAGTTCACGATTGAGATGATTATCATGAACCTAATTCATGATTGATGACTACTGTGAACTGAATTCACAGTGGTTATCTTAATCATGAACTCAGTTTATGGTGGTCATCTTAATCATGAACTCAGTTCATGGTGTCATCTTAATTATAAACTTAGTTCACAGTGGTCATCAATTGTGAACTTAGTTCACAGTGGTTATCTCAATCGTGAACTCAGTTCATGGTAGTCATCAATCGTAAACTCAGTCACAGTAGTCATCTCAATCGTGAACTCAGTTTATGGTGATCAATTATGAACTCAGTTCACAGTGATCATCTCAATGGTGAACTCAGTTCATGGTGATCATCTCAATCATGAACTCAGTTCATGGTGTCCAATCATGAACTCAGTTTATAGTGGTCATCAATCGTGAACTCAGTTTATAGTGGTCATCAATCGTGAACTCAGTTCACAGTAGTTATCTCAATGGTGAACTCAGTTCATGGTAGTTATCAATTGTGAACTCAGTTCATAGTAGTCATCTCAATGGTAAACTCAGTTCACAGTAGTCATCAATCGTGAACTCAGTTCACAGTAGTTATCTCAATCGTGAACTCAGTTCATGGTGGTCATCAATCATAAACTTAGTTCATGGTAGTTATCAATCATGAACTTAGTTCATGGTGGTCACCTCAATCATGAACTTAGTTCATGGTGGTCACCTCAATCATGAACTCAGTTCACAGTGGTTATCAATCGTGAACTCAGTTTATGGTAATTATCTTAATCATGAACTTAGTTTACAGTAATTAATTGTGAACTCAGTTCACAGTGGTTATCAATCGTGAACTCAGTTCATGGTGGTTATCTCAATTGTGAACTCAGTTTACAGTTGTCATCTCAATCGTGAACTCAGTTCATGCTGGTCATCACAATCGTGAACTCAGTTCACGGTGGTCATCCCAATCATAAACTCAGTTCATGGTGTTCACTCAATCATGAACTCAGTTTATGGTGGTTATCTCAATCATGAACTTAGTTTACAGTAGTCATCAATCATGAACTCAGTTTACAGTAGTCATCTCAATCGTAAACTCAGTTCACAGTAGTCATCTCAATCATGAACTCAGTTTACGATAATCATCTCAATAGTGAAATCAGTTCACAGTGATCAATTGTGAACTCAATTTATGGTGGTCATCTTAATTGTGAACTCAGTTCACAGTGATCAATCATAAACTCAGTTCATGGTGGTCATCAATCATGAACATAATTCACGGTGGTCATCTCAATCGTGAACTCAGTTCACAGTGGTTATCCCAATCATAAACTCAGTTTACAGTGATCAATTGTGAACTCAGTTCACGATGATCATCTCAATCATGAACTCAGCTCACAGTGATCAATCGTGAACTCAGTTCACAGTGATCATCTCAATCATGAACTCAGTTCACAGTGATCAATTGTGAACTCAGTTCATGGTAATCAATTGTGAACTCAGTTCATGGTGATCAATCATGAACTCAGTTCACTCAATCATGAACTCAGTTTATGGTGGTCATTGGGGTGTTAGATACCAAATGATTAACTATCATAGTCCAGCACTATATAATTGGCCCACTAATAAAGAATTTTAAATTTTGTCGATCAATTTATTGAAAAAATTTATCATAATAATTTTATAATAAAAACTGTACATTTTTAAAATTTTATAACTTCTGTTCTAGTAAAGCAATTTTAATTCTGTAACTTGCAAATGTTATATAAATAGTATGCTTGTAAAGCTATATTGAGATATTTTTCATTTCATTTTATTAATGTAGCTAAAATTATAAATTAATAAATTTTAACAATTATTTAAATGATTAAATTATAGAAAACTACTAAAATTTACATATTAATATTAATTATTACAATATAGTTTTAAAAGCAAGCTATTTATATGCAATTTATATATTATAGAATTAAATTTGCTCTACTAAAGTGGGAGTTATAACATTTAAAGATATTATTTAAACAATTATATTATAGAGACCTACTAAAATTCATACGCTATTTACACGTTACAGAATTAAATTTGCTCTACTAAAGCGGGAGTTATAACGTTTAAAGATATTATTTAAACAATTATATTATAGAGACCTACTAAAATTCATACGCCATTTACACGTTACAGAATTAAATTTGCTCTACTAAAGCGGGAGTTATAATGTTTAAAGATATTATTTAAACAATTATATTATAGAGACCTACTAAAATTCATATATTAATATTAAACATAGTATCATAATTTTATAACAACACTATTTTTATATCATTTGCAAGTTACAGAATCGAATATACTTTGCTAGGAAGGAAGTTATAACATTTTAAAAATATATAGTTTTTACTACTATAAATTTTTTTAACAAATTGATCGACAAAATTTTAAAAATCTTATATAGTGAAAAGCCTGTCAACGAAGTAATAGAGTGATCATTATTGCGAGATCAGATGGCTTTATGGGATCACATGTTCATGCTGTCTTTTATAGAATTTGTTAAGATACAGATATTTTCTGGTTAATATGATGATTGCATATGATTGTTGAAATGTGAATTACTGAGAATAGGGGTAATCATATGGTTTTGAGTATGTAATTAGTAACATATTTAAAGGCTTTTAGTTAGTAGAGTAGGTTATCTTTCTTTTCGCTATCGCTCACCTTGTAGTGAAGGCTGGCTTTATCATCCCACCTCTCCTACCTATCTCCCAGTAATTTATAAACTAAGTGCAATATATTGACACTCGTTTAGGAAGCTTTTGGTGAGTGTCTCAAAAATAATGATAATAGCTGTAAAGTAGTGCAAATTATAAGGAAAACTTGTTAGTAAAATAAGCTTTCGGTAAAAAAAACTGTGGAAATGCTTATCTGTGAATTAATTATCCGTGAAATGATTTGTCTGTAAATTAGTGTCAGTAAGATAACACAAATCTCTTGGTGGCGGATTTGTTAGACGAAGTATATTAGTAAGCAAGAACCTCATTTTTGCTTTGATTTTTGTAACGATTAGGCTTCACAGATGCAGTGGCTATACGCTATAAGAAGTATATACAGTTATTGTAGGTATTGTTCAAAAAAATATTCGTAATGAGGTCAATTTTCCGAATGCCAATACGATATTGTACAATTTTTATGCTATGATGTAAAAAAAAATTTTGCTGTTGACAATATTAGATATAAACATTGTACAAAATCAGTATATATTCGGAAAATCAACTCCATTCTGAGCATTTTTTTGAATAAAAACAGAATAACTTTAGAACATTGCATACAAAATTTTTTTATAGGGTGCAAGGACTTTGTTTCATAATATATTATCGCAAACGGAACATACAGTGACCACAAAAAGAATCCGGAAAAATAATATGCAACAAAATCTTTTTGTATTTTTCTTATAAAAAATGGGAGGAGCAATAGTGACCGCAAATGGAAAAATAATATGCAACAAATTTTTTCCGCATTTTCCTTATATTATCAAAAATAAGAGAAATATAGTGACCGCAAAAAGGATCTGGCAAAATAATATGCAACAAATTTTTCTGTATTTTCTGAATTGCCAAATTATTCTTAAATTTGGATTAAACGAATGCTTAAATTGTATAATTCATTTTGAGTTCAAAATCAGTGAACAGAGATCAGCATTACACAAAATATTAGTGGATGATTGATCACAATGATGCCCTGATAGTTTTTGATAATTTTGGCTTAAACGAATGCTAACGTTCTTAGTATTTATTTAAAAGAGAAATCATTGAAAACAGATAAATCGTTTACGAAATATCAGTAATATTTTGATAAAGCAATTGTTTATTTCAGCTCTATTTTAATATTTGTCATCATTTTATGGCCATGTTTCATTAACGACTAATCCGTTTTGTGCCATCCTAAATTAGATAATAAGTTTGCAGTATTCATTTGAACACAGAATCATCGAAATTGGACTGACCATTCTCAATTTATAGAATGTATGATGTGAATAGATCTTTTTGCGATCACCCTAAAAATGAGACAAATAACCAATTGTAAGAGTTTCGTTGTTAATCATTATATTTGTTTACTAATCAATATTAATGAGAAAATAAGAAATAAAGCATACTGTTAGTAGAGGATCAAAAAAAAAAATTTAAATTAACTGATCTGTTCTAATTCTAGATCACACCGATCTATGGTTTTTCGTAATGGTAAACACAGATACGTGCTAAAATTTTATATGATATTTGCATTTGTGATGCAGTTCAAGACTTTGCCTTTCTATAGAAAGATATAATCTATATTTGGTTAGTATAATTCCGAATACAATAATAAAAACTCAACTGTATCTTTAATGATTGTAATGCATATTAATCGAGGTGAAAAAATATTAAAGCGATAAAGATACAAGTTAGTATGTTTGTATGGTTAAACATATCTTATTACATATAAATATAGTGCTATGTGATGTAATCTTGTGAAGTCTAAATGCAGAATTTTGCAGTTTATTGCATTTAATGCATAGTCCAATCAATTGGAATTTTGCGAAAAATACATCACTAAAAATGCCATTTCTGATATAATAATAATAAATTTAGATTTCTGGTTTGAAGTTTTCCTTTAACAGTAATTATATGATTTATGATATTTATTATCTTGCACAAAGCATATTCTTGATTAAATTTAATTGCATTGTGTTTCTGATTTTAGTGCAACTATGTTGTACAGCATGTTTGTTGCATTTTGGGATCCTGTAACTGTATTAAATCTGGATCAAGAATTTTAGAGTCTGGCACAGCATCATGCGCTGTGCAGCTATCTTATGTATTAATATCATTTAAAGTCCGTATTCTATTGTTTAAAGATTCTATTTTTAGAATTTTTTGTTTTTATATGGCGTCACCTATATTTTAGTTATTTATCACATATTAATTATTTGTCACAAATATTTATCACATATCACATAAGTTATTTTTTATTATATCACTTATTTATCATATATTAAGTATTGTGTGGCTAGTAAATATGTATATCATGTAGATGATGAATAAGCATATTATGGGTATGTGTCAAATAAACATATTTGAGCTTTTTAACATCTCTAATGTATACATATTTGCTATATGCTTTTCTAATAAGTATTATTTCACTCATAATAAATTATATTTAAAAATTATAGATTATTAGTCTTGAATCTAATTTATTTGGCATGTTTTTAATTTTATTAAATAAAATAATTATGACAATTCATAAATGATTCTGTTTGTAATTGCTCACATATATTGAACATTTTGTACTCAAATGTGAGTGATCAGATGTCTATTTGCAAATAAAGTTTTTTTGAAATTTAGATTTAACAAGCGAATAAGCATCTTAAACCATTTATTTTAATAATATAAACTTTAAGCTTTATAAGACTA